CACTAGAGACCCCAGGGCTGTGTGTGAGAGGAGGGGTGCTCACACTGCTGTCCTGACTCTGGGCTGTACAGTCTGGACAGTAAACTGACTCCTGACTGCTGGGTCACTAGAGACCCCAGGGCTGTGTGTGAGAGGAGGGGTGTTCACACTGCTGATCCTCCTAATTCAACCACAGAGCCAGTTTCTCTCTGCTCCCCTGGGCTGTGTGCAGGTGGAGGAAGTGTGTATAAAGATGTGTATGAAGAGCTCGGGAATGAAAGGTGTTTTATTGCTGCAAGTATTGTTATGGAAGAAACAGGGTCTGTACCTTCAGTGCCCAGTCCTCTCCACACAGCGGCCAGGAGTCCCAGCACAATCAGTGTCCTCATCTTTCCTGAGGGTCCCAGGTTCGACAGGACTGCCGCAGAGTCAAGAGGGTTCTGCAGAGCTGGATTTACAACATACCAGCTCATGTTAGTATAGGGTGATAATCACTGTGATATGATTTAGAAAGTACAGCAGTCTCTGGGTACCTGTGACTGTTTACATGTCTTGATTCCAGTCAGTTTGATTGAACTCTACTAACAATCTATTGTATATTGATGTCTTTTCTGTGAGAGCTTGTCTGGAGAAAGTATCTGGAAGAGGTGGACAGACTCTAATCTCCGCAACCTGTGTGTGTGTGCCCTGCAAACACTTCCACAGCCCAGCAAAGGGCACAGGGTCTCCTGCTGTTAGTTCAACCAGCTCAAGACCCCTGTACCTCCCATGAGGAGGCTGAATCGCTTGTGCTGCATGTGTAACTGAGACCCTCTGTAGGCTTAAAATACACATACAGTATGTACAGTATAAACTATTTCTAAATATAAGAACATGGAAGCTGTTTACCTTTACCTCATTTAATCAGTTTTTGTTAATTGCCATTGTATTATGTACTTGTGAACATGCAATATGTACTCTTGCATGTATTGCATATATTGTGTTGTTACAATAAAAAAACAAAGACTCTTCCTGCGTGTGTGACCGAGACCCTCTGTACCGTGAGCGCGCAGCCAGGCTCAGAGAGGGCGAGGCTATTAAATCAAGAGCACAGCATGAATTAGATACTCTTTAGGAATTATTGTGAACTGAATATAATATAATGCTCAGCTTTACAAAACTATCAACCATAACAGGAATTTTATTAATAATAGCAATAGTATTAAAGCATGCTCTGTTACCACGTTCTCCTATTTAGTTTTATTTTGTGATGCACAACGTAACTGACGGCTATTTGTACTACTGTCATAGCAATAATAATCCTGTGTTTTCTCCCTGATCCTTCAGTGAACAGTGATATTAATGTTTCTGCATTTTACAACTAGCTGACGCGCTGGTCAGAGCACTGGAGAGGAAATCTCAGATTTGATAAAATTACAACTCTGTGTGTTGATTTACAAAAGGGATTGCTGTCATCAAGGAAAAAAAATCACATAATTACGAGATGGTACATTCTTGCTCACTGTATGTGATCATCACATGACAGCACAATTGTTATACAACACCTACATTATCATTATCATTATCATTATCGAACTTCCAGTTTTCAGGAGAGGAATCAATTGCATGGGATACTCGTTCTTGTTTCAGGATAGGAGTGTCTTCATGGTTAAAATTGAGGCACAAACTGAAAGACTTCATCAGTAGAAAGGAA